TCCTTTTTCTCATCATCATGGAGGGCTTGAGCAGACTTATGAGGAGGGCAAAGGATCTCGGTCTTATCAAGGGCTGTAGGGCGGGCAGAGATCTAGCTCATCAAATGGAGATCTCTCATTCATTATTCGCGGATGATACCTTGGTCTTTTGTGATGCTGACGTGTCTCAACTTAGATATTTGAGGTGCATTCTGGTCTGTTTTCAAGCGGTTTCTGGGCTAAAGGTCAATGTAGCCAAGAGCGTGCTTGTCCCGGTTGGGGATGTTCAGGATATTTCCTCCTTAGCCGCAGTTCTTAGGTGTGGGGTGAGCTCTTTCCCTATCCCTTATTTGGGTTTGCCTTTGGGGGGTCTCCTCTAGGAGGGTGGGGAGTTAGGATCCTATGATCGATAGGTACGTGAAGAGATTAGCAGGGTGGAAGAAGCAATATCTATCGAAGGGGGGGAAAGTTACTCTCATAAAGAGCACTCTCTCGAGCCTTCCTACTTATTTCTTATCTATGTTCCAAATCCCATGTTCTGTTGCCGAAAGGATTGAAAAGATCTAAAGGGAATTCCTCTGGGGCGGAAGAGGCGAGGAGTTTAAGTATCATCTCGTCAGGTGGGAGCAAGTTTGCAAGCCCATGAAGTCGGGTGGTCTAGGTATCCGAAGGTTAGTTCCCTTTAATCAAGCTCTCTTAGGCAAATGGTTATGGAGATTCGGCAAGGAAAGGCATCACCCTTGGAGAAGGATTGTTTCATGTCGTTTTGAGGAGGAGAGTGACAACTGGTCTACTCGTCCATTCTCTATTGCAGGAGGAGTTAGTTTGTGGAAATTCATTCGGTCTTCTCTTCCCATATCAGATTCAAAGTTCGTGATGGTAGATGTGTTCGATTTTGGGAGGATTTATGGTGTGGTGACCAGTCGTTATCTTGCACCTTTCCCAAATTGTATCATTGTATAGTATTGCAGCCGATACACATGCCTAAATAGCTGACTGTTATCGGCTTGATAGCAGTGGGATTACGTGGGACGTGCGTTTTAGGAGTTCTTTTCAAGATTGGGAGATGGACGAAGTATGTGTTCTTCTGGATATCTTGTATCAGCAAGAGGCAATTCGCAGAGGTAGTGATGATCTTCTGTGGGTCCCCTCTACCCATGGTAGATTTGATGTCCGGTCCATGTTTCTATGCCTCTCCAACTTCGTTGGCCTTGATTTTTCATGGAAGACCATATGGACTGCCATATGGGGTAAGATTTTGACACTTGACAACTTGAGGAAGAGAGGCAACAACTAACAAGTCAGTGGCCTAGCGGTATCAGCCTCTTACTTCCCAAAGGGAGGTCAGGGGTTTAAGTCTCAAAAGAGACGTGTGTGTGAGTACCAACTAGGAAAAAAAAAAAAAAAAAGGAAGAGAGGCAACAATATTGATAATTGGTGCTGCCTCTGTAAACGAGATGGTGATTCGGTGGATCATATCCTCCTGCATTGTCCTGTGGCGTACGATTGTTGGAACCTTATATTTAGCTTATTTGGTATGCTTTGGGTAATGCCTCGATCTTCTAAGGGTCTGATTAACGCATGGAGGGGATGCCGCGTGAGAAGCAGCGTACGCGACTATTGGAGGACAGTTCCACATTGCGTTTGGTGGTGTATTTGGAAGGAGAGGAATAGCAGAATGTTCGAAAGGAAGGAGTCGTCCATGGCGACGCTGAAACTTCATATTATTCGCTCCATCTTTAGTTACGTGAAGAGGAGTTCTTGCTCCTCTTCCGATGACTTAGTTAATCTATTGGACTCTTTGGGTCCTTAGATCCCGATTCCGCTTTTGTACAAGGGACGCGTTCCCCTTTTGAACGCTTTTTTTAATCGATTATTACTTATCACAAAAAAAAAAAAAAAAAAAAAAAAAAGAAAGTGGGTACTCATTCAATTCAAGGGTCAATGGTGGGTAAAGCGTGGGCACCCATCTTAACCCGCTCAAACAAAATCCTTTTTTTTTTTCTCTCTCCTCTCTTTTTCTCTCTCTTCTGTTTTCTCTCATTTTTCTGTCATAAAAAAGAAAAAAAAAATTGTAATGCTTGAAATCAAAAAATTAATGTAGAAACAATTTTTTTTTTTTGTTATTCAACAATTATAATAGTAATAATATTACTGGAAGTATAGGTGTTCTAATATTATTAATATTAATATTTTCTGTTTCTATCTCTCTCTATTCTTGTTTTTATCTCTCCTCCCTTTCTCTCTCTTCTCCCTTTATTATCTCTCCTCCTATTATCTCTCTTCTCCCTTTTTTTCTCTTTCTTCTCCCTTTATTATCTCTCCTCCTATTATCTCTCTTCGCCCTTTTTTTCTCTCTCTTCCTATTTTCTTCCCCCTGTTTCTCTCTCTTCTCTCTATTTCTCTCCCTTCTCTCCACTTTCTCTCCTTTATTTTTATTTTTTTTGTTGTGATAACTCTCAAAGTAAGATGTATAGTAACTTTTTCCCAAAAAGTAAATAATAACAAAATAAAAGGAAAAAAAATTGTAACGAGATCGATCAAAAAATTAATAAATTTATTTTTTTATATATATATTTTTTATGGTATTCAACAATTAAAATAATTTGACAATTTGTATCTAAAAATATTTGGGTACTTGAGTTGGGTGTGTGTTAACTAACCCATTTAATACTCAATTCTTTTATCACCCATTATAAAAGGGTTGATAAATGGGTTATTGACCCACTATTGACTCGCCCATTCATGATCAGTCCAAAACCCGCCCAAACCCACCCAATTGCCACCCCTAATCTCATGGTAGGTTGGCCTATTGAAATGACCCAGTCCTTCGGTTGTGCCTCTCTTAGGCCATAGCTTGGGCCATCAAAGAATCCGACCAAACTCTCTTAAAGCTTGTAGATCCTTAGCATGTGTTAGCCTACATGCAAGTTGATTTCCCAACCCAACTATTTTCCATTCCTTGCTATAATGTTGGGCCTTCATCAGACTGTTCTCCCATGGCGCAATCCAGAATCTTCTTGGCCCCTCAAATACAAGCACCTCCAACAAGTTTCTCCCATGCCCCCACCCTATCATTGACTTTGACTAAGATAAACCCTCCACATGCGTCTCCAATAGCCTCAAACAACAATGAACATCAAATGCAAAGGGAGGCCATCATACAAGATTCTCTTCTCACTTTATACCTGAGTAGCCAACTTAGAGTGACAAATAGCAATCATGGAAAAAATTGCACCACCCTATCATTGACTTTGACTGACATAGACCCTGCACATGCATCTCCAATGGCCTCAGACAACAGTGAACATCAAATGCAAAGGGAGGCCATAATACGAAATTCTCTTCTCTCACATTATACCTGAGTAGCCAACTTAGAATGACAAATAGCAATCATGAAAAAAATACACCACCCGCATCCTACTACATTGTATGCTCCTAATAAATTATTTGGGACGAAAAATATCACAAGGTACTTGAAGATATTAACAGTGTGCCTGGGAAGGAGAAGGGTGGGGGGGAGCTCCAAATATTTCGTGGGGGATACTGGATAGGGAGAGGGAAAGGAAGGAGGGAGGCTCTCACTCTCTCTTTGCAGGTTTCGCTCCTTTTCACCTTTTTGCCCCATACAAATTTAAAATTTGTTTACTTTTAACAGGTATAGCGGGTCAAGTCAATCAATAACCCTCCTTACCTTCTGGCTTAACCAAACAACAAGAGAGAGGCTCCTCCCTTTCCATCCAATTTTCAATATTCCATACCGAACAAAGCATTAGATTTATGGAATGGTTGCATGTGTTGGCTGATGTCGTCAACAGAGCCAAATTACCTTTCTGCACTCCTAAAGCTGAAGTGACTTTTTGTTACCCCTGATGAGTTTCTTTCTCCCTCTAGGTATACATACATATATTATATATTTATATCTATATGCTGTAATGTATGCTCTGCGTGTATTGCGTGTTTGCTCTAATACTACTACTACTTGTATATCAACACAAAACCATCAAAGGGCAATTCAAATTCCTCTTCTACCGTCAAAGCCACCAAAATGCTTGATCTAAAATACTTACCCCTGTAGATAGTTGTTGTTTGACGCCAAAAATGCCATCGTTGAAAGATGTTTAAAATCATTAAAGGTATGTGAGTGTCACTGTGAAAGGGTCCTTCAAATAAGAGACGTCGCTGTGAAAGTTTTCAGGTAAGAGAGAGGATTTCGGGTTAAACAATCATTCTTATTGGTGATTTAGCTAAGAGACGATTTAGGGATGCCATCGTTCCACACGTCTTCAAAATAAAATAATCCTTTTGAAAAAAATTTCTACTTAGTACAGAAACAAAGTGTTAAAATCATATCTATTGGATACGTGATTTTGGTAGGGAATTTTTTTCTTTCAAAAATATGATTTTGGTAATTGAGAAAGGATTTTTTTTTTTTTTGGGGGGGGGGGGGGGGTATTTTATTGGGTTATTTGTTAAGATTTGGTTAGTTTTCGATTGGTTTAATGTGACGAAAGCTCTTCAACGATCAAAGTGTATAAATCAGAGAGGGAAAGAGGAGAAAACAAGACTGCGATGGAGAGGAGAGGCGAGATTTTCTGAAAATCATAGAGTATAAAACCTGAGTATGTTGTGTTGATATAAGCCAGAGTAGGCTTTCCCAAATAAAATTGATTAAAATGGTCATATGCTATACTAATAAGGTCATTTTACCTCACTTAAGGGTAGTTTTGACGTTTAAAAATTATTCCAGTTACTGACTTAAACCGACTGATGCCAGGGGTGGTCCAAGTGATTATGTCAAACCTCAGGGAAGGTTTCAAATAGTTTCATCCGTAGGTAGTTTGGAAAAACCTCGGGGGAGGTCAGGGTAATTCACCCTGCATATTATTACTGCAGTCTGCAATTAAAATTTGTTGAAGCGTGTCATTTTTTAAGAACAGTGGCAGTTTATAAGATTTCAACTGCCAAGCATAATATATGTATATATATATGATAAATTTGGATACAAGGTTCAAGCTTACATTAAGCAAGGTCCTGCCAAAACTTGCTTCCTCCTCTGCAATTGTGTCCCTGATGTGCACTTCATGTTGCTTCAGCTCTGGAAAAACGTCACCCATCACTTTCACCACAATGTTTACAAGCCTGTTTTTCACATAATTATTAAAAAAACATCATCAGAAATGATACATGTGTATTACTTATCAAAAAAGAAACGATACATGTGTATTAGGAATAACAGATGTAAACTTAAATATCCAAATTGTCCCCAAGTTAATTTTTTATACAAGAATAGGAAACAATTAAAATCACATTACAAAACTATAACAGATACATATACAGTGAATAATCACAAGATGCAAGCAAATTTGTCATTCCTACCCACTGAAGAATCCTTGTTGAGCTTTAAGGACTTCAGTCCCATAACGTACAGCACGGCGGAGAATACGCCTCAGAACATATTCACGCCCCTCGTTGCCTACACAGCAAGTACGATTATCAAGAGTTCCACTCGAAAACAGATTTAAATAGATAATCAAAAAAAAGCCCATTGCACATCGTTGGTCCAACCAATGAAGACCTAACCTTTGGCATATTTGGCACAAAGTAGATAAATAAGCAATACAACAAAAATGACATCCTTAAAAGTAAATAAATAACTCCCAAGCCACAGGTCAAGGTTTCAAGACTGGTAGAAAAATAAAAAATAAAACTCCCCATTTAGAAAGGAACACGTAATACTCCCTCCGTCCCACAAAAAATTGTCCCTTTTTGGGAACCTAACTTTTTAAGAGGATAGTTTTTAATGGCTTTTTATTATACTGGTAGAGAATGAATTTTCAAATATATCCTTCTATAGTGGGTCCACATGCTTTTATAACTTCAAGGCAAGGAGGATAAATTAGGAATTTAACAAAAAAAAAAAAAAAAAAATAGTACATTGGATTTTGAATTGGGGCAATTATTTTGGGACAGCTAAAAATGGAAAGGCACACACTTTTCATGGGACGGAGGGAATAGTAATGTTCAAGAGAATGTCAGCATTTCAAATGAAGGATTAAGACCACTCTATCAAGCAGCAGACCCAACACGTCAACTAGATGATTTTAATCTTGGCTTCCTCAGAAGAATTGATAATACTTTCGTTCTTCATTGCATTAAAATTAAAGAACTAAACGTTATAAACTTCCAGAAGGCAACAAAATAAGGAGACAAATAAAAAGAAAAAACAATGAAGCATAACCAACACAAAAAAGCTTCTAAAAGTCCAATGCGTTTAACAGATTTGGTAACCAATCAATTTATATGCTCTCCATTACATACTGCCTCTGCAGTCCAAAGCCTATGTTAAGATTAGGGTTAGAATAGAAGAGAAGGAGGCGGAGCCATTGTTGGGAATTCAGTCTTAATTTCTCATTCTGATACAAGTGTACAAATAATGAAAGGACTAAAATACCCGTGTGGGTTAGGTAAATTACAAGAGTGCCCTAATTCAATTATTCTAACAGCCTAAAAGGAACCTCAAAAGAGAAAGTTGAATATTATGGCTGTCAAAGTAAAAGGTTCCAGCGAGGAACAAGAAAAGAGGAGACAAAGTCAAAGTGCTTTCTTTCTTTATAGTGACACAGACCACACATGACTTCCTTACCTTGTCATATCCAGTGTGCATTTAGCTATTTTATACTACTCTTTTCAAGTATTATCATTATAAAAATTTATCTCACAATGCCAAGTGACAGCATTGTAGAGAAGTGAGGACAAACCAAGGAACTATAAGGTGTATACACTTTATATATCACTATAGGTTGTCGGTTCCCTTCAATCAAGGGTACTGATTAATTACTAAAAGTAATTGTACTCAAAATCAAGAACTCGCATCCTAATATACACTAATATATACACATACATACATGTCGACAAAGCTATATAATGTCCATGTAGAGAACTAACCAAGCCACTTGAAACTTTTGAAATATCGAGAACAAGATTTTCTGTATGATGTACATATTTCAGACCTCCATGGCCAAACTCCAAAAAAGCAAAAGAAAGACCAGCGAGCAATACCACCACTAACAAAGAAAAAAAAATAAACTACAGATAAGAATCCATTTGGGGGGGGGGGGCGGGGGGGTGGGGGGGAGGATAAGAATCCCTCTCTCTCTCTCTCTTCTCTTTTCTATTTCTTTTCGTTTTTTTTTTTTTTTATGGGTAAATTTACTTGCACACATGCCCCAAATTCATATAGTTGTTAAAGGCTCAAGGCGCACTACGGCGCCAAGGTCTCCTGGAGACTGAGCCTGAGGCGCAAGGCGAGGCGCGCACCTGACTGAAGTGAGGCAAACGTGACACAAAACATGTAAAAGAACAGCAATAATGTGGCAATCAACAGCAAATACAGCAATAACAAGGAAATTAACAGAAAATAATGTGGCAATCAACAGAAAATAATGTGGCAATCAACAGAAAATACAGCAATAACAAGGAAATTAACAACAATAACATGGAAATTAACAGAAAATAATGTGGCAATCAACAGCAAATTCTTAACCTCCCCTTTGAAACTGCCTAAGGGGAAGTGCTGAACTTGGAGGAGAAGTGAAAAAAGAAAAAAAGCAGAACTATGATGAAAACAGAGAACTAGGGAAAAAGTTGTTGTAGAAGAAGAACAGAGAAGTTAACATAGGGGAGAGAGAGAGAGAGAGAGAGAGAGAGAGAAAAAAAAAAAAAAAAAAAGTAGAGACAAACTGCAGAAGGGGGATGAAGAAGAGGAGAGAGAAGAAAGAAGACGCTGAAGGGAAGAGAAAAAGAACAGAGAGAAGGTGCTGAAGGGGCAAGAAGAAGAAGAAAGGAGAAGGGGGAAGAGGGGGGAAAAAAAAAACCTGACTAGTGGATTGGCTGAGAAGAAGAAGAAGAAGAGAGACTGGGGAAGAAGAAGAAGAAGAAGAAGAAGAGAGGAGAGAGATCATACCTGCGATCGCACACCAGAGAGACCCCAAATTGTTGACCGACTGAGAGGGTTTTTTGGTTACGTTCTTTACACCCTTCAGCAATAACATGTGGTGGTGGGTCCACTTAACATAAAATTGCCACTTTTCATCAATATAACATGTGGTGGTGGGGTCTAGTTAACCTTAAATTACCACTTTTCAGCAATATAACATGTGGTGGGGCCCAAATCACCTTAAAAGCGGTTATAACAATGGAGCAACTAGAGAAACAATCTATAAAAATATATAACTTCAGTCAAGCGCCTTTATTGCGCCTTGAGCCTGACGCGCCTGTGTAATAGGCGCGCGCGCCTAGGGCAACTCGACTCGCCCGGGCTGGTGCAAGGCGCAATTGATGCGCCTTGATGTGCTTCGCGCCTAAGGCACCCCAGGCGCGCGCCTTTGACAACTATGCCCAAATTCTTAACCTCCCCTTTGAAGAGGTGGAGGACATACCACTTAAGACAAGGATTTAGAGCATTCCATATCTTACTGAAATTAAAAAAGGCCGGTGCGTAAAAAATCAAACAGCAAAGGTAGAACCAATGTCCAAGTTTCTGGCACTCCACCTGGACAAGAACCATCAGCAATAGCAAATGAAAGAGTTCTGATGTGGTCAGCAACCACCCTGTACGCCATGTCAACTTTATCAACATCATCTGCTCCAACTTTACCCAAATATGGTTTAGCTCCAGTTGCCTACCGAAGAAATGAAAAGAAATATAAATGTAGAGGGGCATAGCAGATCATTTAGAAAATTGAAGAGCAATTGGACACATAATTTACTATTTTTCCAACAAAGAGGTGCATCCAAAACAGAGAAATCTCAGAAAATGTGATGATTCTCAACAGAACCACCACGATAAGGACCAGTTAAATTTTTCTAAGACCAATACGGCAATACCATTTTAGTAAGCTATCCTTTCTACTCTGTCCATAGAAATACCTTGATCATCAAACAAGTGTGTGCAAGTTTGAAGCCATCCCTTGGATACAGAACACACCAAACTTTGGTTTATTTGTGCCAGAGAGTATGTTCCTAATATAGACAACAGGGCCAATACTTCCCTATATATACGACTCACCCAATAAAAAATATAAAACAATATTTAAAATTTGGGAGCTGAATAAATTCAAAGATGAAAACTAACAAAACCATCAGCCCAACACTCGATGAGATCTAAAAAACTCGAAGCGAGTCAAACCACACAAAGAATTTTTTTTTTTTTTTTGATAAGTCAAACCACACAAAGAAAAATATAAACATAAACACCCTCACCCTCGCACCATCAGATAACGAAGAAGGTGATTAGTGGTCTCTCTGGCCTTTCTGTAAGTGCAGCTTTAATTGGCAATCAGTTTTACACTTCCTCCCCAAATTATCGTGTGAGAATCGCCTCCAAGGCAGCAGCACAAGCTTATGCGCACGCAGTCACACAAAGCCACATTAACATTCCTAATAACTTTAGAAAAACCAGGCCTATGCCATTCACATAAGAACCCGCAGAACAACCAGACTCCAAAAGGGCCATCATTGTCTGAAAGCAATTCTTCTATCTAATATGACTCATTAAAATGATATTCATCACATCATGATCTTACCTGTCGGATAACATCAAAGATGGGTAAGAACACATCAGTATCATAATTGCTCATCTTGTTCTGGAGAATAGAAGTTAATCTTTCAAAACCCATTCCAGTATCAACATGTTTAGCAGGCAGAGGTTTTAGTGAACCATCACCTTCCCTATTAAACTGCAGGAAACAACAAACCAATGTAAACAGTTCGCCAAAATGATAGCAAACTATTCAGCTGGACCAAAATGACAAGATGCAATATGCAACTACAGCAATGCGATGTTGAACTCTGTTGTCTTGTCACCAGTAATTACAAAACGCATATGCATGACAACCACAGAGAGACCAATACTTCCAACATATTTGAAGTCTTAAGGTTATGTATGACAACTCACATGATAAACAACACAATGGATGAAGAGCCATTTGAATAAAATTGGTGAAAGTTATACCTGGATAAATACAAGGTTCCATATCTCGATGCACGTAGGGTCATCATTGTTAACCAATGATGCAGCGTCACGGTTCCCAATTCGATCATAGTGTATTTCAGTGCAGGGTCCACAAGGTCCAGTATCACCCATCTCCCAAAAGTTGTCCTGTTCAAAGTTACAAAAGGCACAAAGCAACAACAATAAAACTATATTAGCTCAATATAGCATGCATATGCCAAAAAACAAAAAGGGAAAAAAAGAGGAGAAAAATAGGGATGCCAACATCATAGTAGAATAAGGATGTATCATATATGAATATATTGGACAAATGAAGTGGGGGACCTTAGTGGCTGGATATGTTTTAACATCCAACGGCATGCTAATATATTTATTTAAGATGTTCTCTATAATTGGTCAAAATTATTTATTGATATATCTTAAATCTTGGGGAATACAGATAAATATTTCAACTAATACCTAATGACACATCTTCGCGACATTACCAATTTGTATTGAAATTATAATTGAAGCATTTGACACATATATCAACTTATCAACACACACAAATCTACATGTCTACCAAAATAAAGAGATATCTGCATAAAATATAAATGAACAGGATATATACTTTCCTTGTAATTTGGGTTTACAAGGCCATTTTTTTTTTTGGGGGCAAGTAAATTTTCATAAAAGGCGCCCAACAGGGGAGCGCTCCCAAAAGAATACGCAAGATGCCAAAGGCAACAACCATTAACCCAAAAAATATAAGTATACAAGGCACTTAACAGAACAGAAAGGGCAATACTGTCGTGTAATAAGATTATAATAAACTTTCAAGTATTTTGCCGTTTCAATGTGAACAGATGAGCCGAAACAATTCTTTAAGTATGTAATTGAATCATTTGCTCATCCTTCCTTATGATGATAATTGATATTAATGGAATCAATTATCAACTTCTCTGTGTTGATAATTGTAGCTTCATTTTGTGAAGAAGATAAAGAGAACAATTAGACAGAAATGCCAAATTCAATTCTCTAGCATCTGATACAGAGAAAATTGTTTTAATTTGTAATTCATTTGTGCTTGTTCAAAAGTAAATATTTTCTTAAAAAGATAATGTGGGAGGAAGATCGACGTGCAAAGCCAAAAGCAATATGTTTGTATAAGGACTGTGGCATGCAGTTTCTCTAGCATCTGCTACAGCAGAAATTTTTTTCAATTTGTAATCATTTGTGCTTGATCAGGAAGTAAATATTTTCTTAAAACGTACGAGGAAGATAAATTTTTTTTTTTTGACGAGTAAAAAGTATATTAGAAGAGTGTTCAAGAGGGGAACGCGTTCCTAATACAAAAACGAAACAAGGAACTAAGAACCAATACCATCCAAGAGATCAAGAAAATCATCAATCGAGGAGCAAGCGCTTCCTCTTACATAACAGAAAAGACAATGAAGAATATGAATTTTTAGATTTGCTAAAGACGATTCCTTTCCTTCAAAATTTCTGTTATTCCTCTCTCACCAAAGGCACCACCAAACACAATGTGGAACAATCCTCCAATAATCACGAGCTTGACCTTTAACTAGGCATCGTCTCCATGCGTTAATCAGTTGTAAGGAGTGGTTAGGCATAACCCAAAAAACGCCAAACATGCTAAAGATGAAATTCCAACAATCGTACGCCACAAGACAGTGCATAAGAATGTGATCCACGGATTCTCCGCCTGCTTTACGTAGATAGCACCAGTTAACAATGGTGTTACCTCTCTTTCTCAAGTTATCCAAAGTCAGAATCTTTCCCAATGTAGCAATCCAAATGAAGAATGCGATTCTAAGAGGAGCTTTAGAACACTAGATAGACTTCCATGGGAAATCGTGACCAACGAAATTGGACAAACACAAGAACATGGATCTGACACCATAGCTACCATGGGTTAAAGGGAACCACCAAATATCATCACACCCGTAACCAACTTCCTTCTGTCTATACAACAAATCCAAAAAAACACATGCTTCCTCCATCTCCCAATCCTGAAAGGAGCGCCTGAAACGCACATCCCACGTAACCCCACTGTTATCAAGTTGATAACAATCAATTACGTAGGCGTGCTTATTGTCAGCAATACTATAAAGTCGAGGAAAGGAGTGAGACAACAGCTGATCCCCGCACCATAAATCCTCCCAAAAACGAACATGCCTACCATCACAAACCTTGAATCTAATATGTGAGGAGAAAACATCCCAACTATTCCAAATGAATTTCCACACACCAACGCCTCCCGTAACAAAGACTGGACGAGAGGACCAGACCCCACTCTCCTCTCCAAAGCGACATGAGACAACTCTTCTCCACCGGCGATGGCGTTCCTTACCAAATCTCTAAAGCCACTTTCCCAAAATGGCTCTATTAAAAGGGACTAGCTTTCGAATGCCCAAACCACCTAATTTCAACGATTGACAAACTTGTTCCCAATTAACAAGATGATACCTAAACTCCTCACCTCTTCCGCCCCAAAGAAAATCCCTCTGAATTTTTTTAATCCTTTTAGCAACAGAACATGGGATTTAAAATAAAGATAAAAATTAGGTAGGAAGGGACGAGAGAGTACTCTTAATGAGAGTGACTTTCCCCCCCTTAAAAGATACTGCTTTTTCCATCCTGCTAGTCTCTTCTCATATCTATTAATCACCGGATCCCAGTTCCCTACTCTCGTAGAGGAAACTCCCAAAGGCAATCCTAAATAAGGAAGAGGAAAATCGCCCACTCCACACCCAAGAACTGCAACTAAGGATGAAATATCTGGAACATCCCCCACTAAGACAAGCACACCCTTTCCAACATTGATCTTAAGTCTAGAAACCGCTTGATAACAAAGCAAGAATGCACCTCAGATATCTGAGTTGGGAGGCATCAGCATCGCAAAAAACTAAAGTGTCATCTACAAACAACAAATGGGAAATCTGCATCGATGTTCAACATCTCTGCCAACTCTAAATCCCCTGATGTAACCCAAAACTTCCCCTTTTCTCATTAATCGGCTCAATCCCTCCATAACAATAAGGAATAGAAAAGATGATAATGGGTCTCCTTGTCTCAAACCATGCGAACTAGCAAAAAAACCAACAGGCGAACCATTCATGAGCACAGAGAACATCACGAACGAGATACAAGTTTCTATCCATTTTATCCACCTATATCCGAACCCCATCCTTCTGAAGCAGATAAAGAAGAAACTTCTAATTAATGTGATCATATGCTTTTTCATTGTCAAGCTTGCATAAAATGCCAGGAGCCCCACTCTTCAATCTAGAATCAACACATTCCCCTGCAATAAGAACAAAATCCAATATCTGCCGTCCTTCAACAAAAGCATTCTGAGATTCTGAAATGAGTCCATCCAAAACATTACTCATCCAAAAGACAAGAACCTTGGCAATAAGCTTATACATACATCCCACTAAACTGATTGGCCGAAAGTCCTTAATATCAAAGGCATCGCCCTTCTTAGGAATAAGGGCAACAAAAGATGCGTTCAGTGATTTCTCAAATGTGCCATGAGAATAAAAATCCTGAAAAGTGCCCATCACCTCAGTTCGCACCACCGCCCAACTCTCCTTAAGAAACCGCATGGTAAACCCATCTGGTCCTGGAGCTTTATCACCATTACAGCTAGATAGTGCCTTAAGCACTTCCTCTTCAGTGAAAGGAGCCTCAATCCTATCATTATCCAATACGGAAATAGAATTAAATGGAAGGCCATCAAGTGTAAGTCTCCATTCCAAAGTCTCAGTGTAGAGCTGCTGATAAAAAGAAACAATTCCCCCCCGTACCTCATCCTCTCTCCAGCTCAGAACCATTCACACGGATACACCCGATGTGATTACATCTTCTATGAGCGTTGGCAAGTCTATGAAAGAATTTTATGTTACGATCTCCTTCTTTTAACCACAAAGCCCGAGACTTCTGACGCCACGAAATCTCCTCCATAACAGCTATCTCAGCAAAAATCGCCTGGCAAGAGGCTCTTCTAGAGCGTAAAGACTCCACATCTTGCCCCACCTCTTCAAGACGATCAAGCTCTGCAATATCAGCAAGAACTCTATTCTTCTTCCATTCAAGATTCCCAAACACCTCTTTGTTCCACTTCTTCAACTCAGTTTTGAGAATCTGAAACTTCCTAGCTAACGCATAGCTAGCAGAGCCTGTAAAACTCGCTCCCTCCCACCAAGTCTGGACTTTCTCTTGGAAATTCTCAGATCTCAACCACATATTTTCTAAGCGGAAAGGTGTGCGTCTAGATCTCATTCCTCGGCAATCGAGAACTAAGGACACATGATTAGATGTTACTCTAACCAGAACAGCCTGAGAAACATCCGGGAAATGCTCTTCCCTCTCCCCAGAAATCATAAATCCATCCAGATTTGAGAAAGTAACTGGATCCCTGCCATTAGACCAAGTAAAAGTTGCCCCTTCCAATGGCAAATCAATAAGAAAGTGACTATCAATGAATTCTGAAATCAGGGTCATTTCGGAGGACCACGTACCCCCTGTGGACCTCTCAAACGGGGACCTAACAAAATTAAAATCCCCGCCTAAACACCAAGGCAATGACCACAATCCCTTAACATAGCAAAGCTCTTCCCAAAAGGCTGGTTTGTCACTATCAATAACACATCCATAAACTCCTTAAAACACCCATCTGAAACTATCTTCCTCTATCTAAAACTCACATAACAAAGAGTAAATTCCTTTCCAAGTGTTCATACTTGATAACCACCTTCGATCCCACAAGATAAGAATACCACCCGAAGTGCCGGAGGCGTGTAACGCTTCCCATTCCACAAACCTTCCTCCCCAAAGGCTCCTGACTACCTCATCAGTGATAAAAGCCATCTTAGTTTCTTGCAAACATACAACATGGGCACTCCACTTCCTCACAGCTACCTTGACCACTCTTCTTTTGTCCGGATCATTGAGACCACGAACATTCCACGTGATAATTCGTAGCTTCATTAAGAACCAAAAAGAATCATCTCCCCTCCTCCTCCCCATTTTCCACTTCTGGTCCTTCCCCTTTCTTTAATCACCCCATCCTCCCCTCATAATTAACATAGGAAATGAGGATCTTAACTTCCTATTCCCCTTTCCAATGTGAGAGATGCTTTTTGGTTTTAACTTCTTTTGTGCCTCTATAAATCTCTGTATTGTCATTTCCTGCAACTATATCGTGAAGAATAAACATAATTCGTTCATCATTACCCCCTGAAGAGACACCCAAAGCTTCACTTGCTGCACCAATATTCTCAATCATCCATTCCAAACCGAGATCATTAGTCGTCTCCAAACAATCTGGCCGCACAACTGCCAAAGGTTCCATTAAGTCCACATCAGGTTGATCCATTTCCGTCCAAGAAGAGGAGTCATTAAAACAAGACTGCTGAGATGGAACCCAATCCCCATTCACCTCTCCTAGTTGCATATCCCATTCTGTTTCCGAATCATCCGACTCTGTCAACAACCTGTGAACATCATTCACCTCATTCGCGGGTGGAAGACAGTTCAGCCCTTTAAACACATCAAAAAACCTGAGCTCTTTGACTAGAGCCACGGCTGAATCATTTGTCAATTTGAAGTGCAGGTCTTTCCCAATGCAAACTGTAACCCCATTAAAGCAACCTACGCTTCCAGACATAATTTTTGAGGCATCCATCACTGACCCAGTAGACCGTGAAACTGAAGACCCAACAAAATCCCGCTGTTGAGTCAAACCATCCTCCACACCATCCCCACTTCTCACCACTCCACACGAAGAAGGAGGAGTAGAAATAGAAGTCTAAGAAGGAAAAACAGCGGCCAAACCTAGATGAATAGAGGCATGAGAACGTGCAACCCATTTTTGCTTCTCATTTCGAGTCCACCGAGAACCATGGCGACTGACTGAGTTAACGCTCATCATCCTCCACTTTGATTTGTCCGATGCAGACCAGTGTTTAAACTTGGGCGAGTCTCGCTGTTGAGACTTAGGCTGAAAATGGACTTGTTCTTCCGTGCGTGACCCCAAAGGATTAGGGCCTTGCTTAGTGTTTGAGAAAGAGATGGTTAAAGAATTGGGCCCTTTCTGTACCCGTCGATTAGGCCCAGATCCAATAGGCCCTTTCTGTACCCGTTGATTAGGCCCAAATCCATGAAAAGCTTTATTGGGTTTAGGCTTAGTGAGTCCAAAATTCAAACCAGGCCCGAACTGACCTCTGGCCTGCCTTAACGCCTTCTGGCCCATCTCACCGCCAACCTCGGCCCAATTAGAAATGCCCTTTCCTTCCTTATCACCAGCCCCTAGAGATAAGGATAAGGGGGAATCCAAAGATGTATCCCGTTGACTTCCACGTGTAATCGTTGTCTGTTCAGCATCAACGTGCTTGACCGGCGCGTGTTGAGCACTTCGTCTTCTCCCCCCTACAAACTTCACTGCCCTCTGTATTTCTGTGTCCTTTAGCCACTGTTGGATCTCGAGAACCCCCTTTTCTCCTTTGCGAAGAATCTTGGTCCATTCCTCTTCCGTCATAAGGTGTGACCCATCACTACCTTCAAGGCTCTCCGTTGAGGGAACAAGTTCTGGCGAGATTTCTTCCCAGATCGCGACCTTATAGCAGAAGATGTTGTCGTTAATAAACACGAACTTCGGACATTCTAAGCCTATTCTCACTGTGATCCGAATGCTTTCGGCGTCCCTAGTCTCATCTGCATCAGATCTCACGTATCCACCACAAAGCTCTCCCACTTCGACAAATAAGGCATGACACCATAGATGCAGAGGGAGTCCAAACAGCCGGATCTGTTTGAGACCTTTGTCTCTAAGAACGTCACAGCACCCAACTCTAAAAGACCACACGTCGATCCTCAGAGTTGTGGTTCCCCACTGTCGCCGACCTTCCTTCAGCACCCGTTTGGCCTCTGCCTAAGAAGGAAACCGAAAAAGGAGCAGTGAGTCGGATAAGGGTGTTACCCCCACCCCACATGTTGTGTTCCAAGCCCGCGCTGCCCATTCTTGCACTCGATCACATCCCCCAACCTCCTTGTCAAAACGTCCGACCAAGCAGAATGAGAGAACTAACTTCCTTCCTTCGACGTACTCCCTGTCGATGTACAACAACGGCCCTCGATGAGGAACTTCCGTCTTCACATCCCCTCCAAGCAAGATTCTTGGTAATCTTGCAATCTCCAGAAAAGATTTCATCCTAACCCTAGCAATATCGCAGTTGCACAAATCGCCCCTAGTGTGGTGAAATCGCACATAGTGACGTCATTCAACTTTTGATTATTTTTTTACGAGGAAGATTACTTATCAAAAAATAAATAAAATTATGAGAAAGATAGACATGCAAAGCCAAAAGCAATCTGACTCTGGCATGCAGTTCAAGTGATAGCTTAAAAGTCCCAGAGCAGTAGGCAATCCCAAGTTGGATGATGCTCACAGCCAATAGTTTTTTCCATTAAGTTACAAATCTTTACCATTTCAAACCGGAAAGAATATGAGGTCTTAAAATATCCTCACAAAAGTAGAAAAAATTCCATTCTTAAACAACTCATTGGCTTGCACACCAAAAACAACTAGGTCAATCACTAGTAAAACATTTTATGTACAAAAAAAACCGAAAAATTTAAGTTGTTGCTTCAGGCTCTGATACGTCAAAATGCACTATGCCAAAAATAGATCTAGAAGGGGTGAATGGATCTTGCCCAATTTTAACTAACAATAACTGATTTTTAAGGTCTGACAATTTATATTCAAAACATGGAAATATGAATCAATTAAAGAATAGAGAGCAAAATTAAATAAACACAGTATTTTTACATGAAAAACCCCAACTAGGAAAACTATGTGACCTTGTCCAGGCAAATCAAATCCACTACGAGAAAGAAGTTTACAACAAGCCAGATTCCCAAACCCTAAAATCTACTAGTTATTTCTTGACTCAGATTTACACTAGACACTCCACTCTATTATTTTTTGTTGTCAATCAAGCAATCCACTTCTCCTTTAGCAAACTGATCTCCATGACTACTTAAGATGCAGTTCTTGTTTGTTTGAAGAAAAGGAGACTCCTACTCTTGTGCTGAAGATCTCCGTTATTACCACTCTTTTTTGTTGGGTTGTAGGGAGAAATTATAGATCTTTAGAGGAGTTAGTTGATTTTTGGGGCTCTTTGAGGGAGTAGAGGCACTATTTGGCCTTGTGTAGTTCTCTTGGGATGTGGTCCCCCTTTGATCGCTTTTTTATACAATCTTAATTATTTTTTTTTTGATAAGTAATACAATCTTAATTATTAAAAAAACAAGTTTGTGTGATTTGGTGTTGATGATAAACAAGTTTGTGTGATTTAGTGTTGATGAAGTTTTAGACCCCAGAAGTTGATGATCAACACTCTGAATGATAACTCACTATCTAATGCAACATGAAAGATGATGAAAAGAAATACATGTACTCTATGTGCCTATTTGCTCTTGAAAAAACTCACTCCAGATTTATATGTATTCCCTCTATATGAGTTTGAGATTTATGTGAGTTTGAGAGCCTAGGGATGTAGTTATCTAGCATGAGATCTTTTCGGGATGTAGCTCGTTTGCCTCGATTGTTTCAGGGAGACACAGCTAAAATTGCGAATCCTTACAGAGGACCATCAGTTTTCTTGGATGATGATTCTGTAGGGATTGCAAAACAATGGACAATAAAGCATTCATGATGTAACTTATTATTATTATTCACTTGTCTCGCATCCTAGTGTTCTTACGCCAGTATTGCATGCACATTAACTATCATTTACAATCATCGCAAATTATCTCCAAAGACTGTTCATATGTTATGTAATATTTCTCCAAAATTTTCAAGTCATCTACATAAGAAAAAAGTTTCAAGGATCTCTATAACAAGTGATTTTTTTTTTTTTTTAAATATCATAACCGTGTACCTATCCCGAAAATTAATTAAATAAATAAATAATTGATCTTCTCGTGTCTTATTTTTTCTTCATCCCTTTCTCTCAAAATTTATTATTGGTTTAATAGCACAATAGTTAGTGCAGTTTTGCAACCAATCTACACTATCATCAGCCAAATGGTTCAAAACTGACAGCAACCAGTAAGGTCCAAAAGCCTGTCCTTTTTTCCATTCTTTATCCACAAACAACATGAAGCCATAAATTTCAAAAGCAAACCTTAGTAACCAACAAGAAAATCCGACGCAAATTGCATATATCTGATCATAGAAATCCTAGTAACGAAAGATAAATAAACCCTCTTTGTCACCACGGACGACCAACACACCCCCCCCCCCCCCCCCCCCCCCCGGCGGCGGCGGCGGCCGCTGGCACCTTGACCAGTAGAAAAGATGTCTTCTTTAGTTATAATTCTTCTTTATATATTAGAAATTATCTGCAAGACTAGAAGAGTTCATGTTCTCAGCCATCTAGCATTAATACAGAAAATATATTTTTATGATGTTCATAACATAGAATTCACCAAAAACTTGAAGGATGATGCATGCCATCGCAAGAAAAAATGAAGACCTAAAAAATGAAGGAAAAAACATACCTTACAACCAAAAGGCAATACGCGACTAGGAGGCAGAAATTTGAGCCATATACCTCTAGCTTCGTCATCAGCAGCAAGGCCAGCTTTCTCATCACCACCAAAATAGGTGGCATAAATCCGATCAGTAGGCAGTTTATACACCTTCAAGCCAATAACCAATCAAAAAGATGAGCTTTAAAAGTCATACTTATAATTTCACAAAGTCAAAAAGATGAGTTTTCAAAGTCATACTCATAATTTCATAAAGTCAGACAATTCATTTTCCAAGAACACATTCTTGATTCAGCCAATCAAAGAGAACTTTTTTATTGTCAAAAATGAATTGACAACCCAATACATTTTCATTCAGGAAAAAAAAAAAAAAGGCATTTTCTATTGACAACAAATACGCTCAAAGACTCTAGAGTCAATATTTGAACACCATAAAAACTTTTCACCCTAACTCTTATTCATTCCCCAACAATACGAGATAAACAGGAAGCTTTAAGTGAAAGCACAGAATTAGCCAACAAAGTGCTACAGCATATGAAATTTTTAAATTTTTCTTGATAATTGTATAGCATATGCATTAACTTAATCTAAGGGATAAAAGATTAATGCTGAGTATTTGAACAATAAAAAGCACTATTTAGATGCAAATATTGCATGAAATCTTAATATTGGTCAACCTAATCAAAGATGGGCAGAAATCGATTGCATAAACTGTACATAGCAAGACAGCTGGTTAAGAACTTAACAAAAAAAATAAAATGGCAACTTTAATCTACCACCCTATAATGTAAGTACAAGCACCAAGTTAATATGCATAACATTTTTTTTATATAAGAAGATTGATATAAAAAGGCGTTCAAAAAGGGGGACGCATCCCTCAAAAGCTAAAAAAGGCCAAATAGGGCCTCTAAACTCTCAAAGAGCCCAAAAAACTATCTCCTCCATGTATTTACAATTTCTCCCTAGAACCCAACAAAAAAAAAAAAAAAAGTGCTAATAATGGAGAACTTCAGCGCGCCAATAGGATTCTCCTTGCCTTCAAAGGATCTGCTGTTTCTTTCAACCCTCCAGAAATCACGGACTTAGGTCCCCACTATACAACCTCTCCAAGCCTCAATCAAGCCTGTGGAAGACCTAGGCATAACCCACTGAATCCCAAACAAACACAATAAAAAAACTCAACAATCCCAAGCCACAGAGCAATGCAAAAGAAGGTGATCAATCGTTTCCTCATCTCTCTTACACATGCTGTACATCCCTTGCAGATAAGATATATTATACTTCTATTTAGACTCCATAGCATCAAAATTGCTCACTTATCAAGTCAATTGCTAACTTACATGGGTTTATCTGCTGGATAAATCTCTAGGCTATGTCTTCAAGCACATGTATGAATAATGAACTTTTATTCTCCCTTCACAAGCTTATTTGCCTTTTTGTAAGCTAATTCACATGGTTACTTACAGTAATAACATAAAATACAACTTGACACAAAATATAGCCCTAGCAAGAAGTCTATGACAGATCCCCAAAAGGGCTTCTAGGGCACCCCAAACAGGAAAAATAATGTGATCTGGGTTGACTTGAATGAGACATTGACCGCAATTTTGAATATCAAATACAAGTCCAGCCTTGATTAGACATTTTTGGAAAAAGTTTTGCTTGATTTTCTTTTGCTGACTAATGTATGATACCCATCCCACTAATACGCCTAAGATAAGAGTTTTTATTATTACTTTTTCCCCCATACAACTAGTGATAGCAACAATGGAACAAAACAATCAACAACTTGTGACATACATTAACGAAATAAACACACGAGCATGAACAGAATATATCATAATGAATGGATACAAGAAGTTAATAGGGAAAAAGAGGTGAAAAATTAAAAGGAAAAAAAGATTTTAACTCGGGGAGCCTGAGAGAACTATGTAATGTGATCACTTGCCTTGGTAAGAAGCTCCCAAGCCCATCCAATGGCTTCTCTTTTGAAATAATCCCCAAATGACCAATTACCTAGCATCTCAAAGAATGTGTGGTGGTAAGTGTCTTTCCCAACATCATCGAGATCATTGTGTTTCCCACCAGCTCGGATGCACTTCTGGGTGTTGCAAGCACGAGTGAGTTTACTCAAGGGAGTGTTTGGATCAACGGTTCCTAAGAAGATAGGCTTGAACTGATTCATACCTAACATATACGAATGAGTCCACATTAAAAAAGTCCTACAGCACAAAAGAATAACATAATTCTACAAAAGTGCAGCAGGAATCTATATAAGAAAGAGATATGGGAGCATACACTGAACTTTTATGTCCTAAAAACAAGAAATAAAATAAGAAATGATGCACAAAAAACAATAACGAAAATTTAAAAAAAAAAAAAACTAACCATCAACATGGCTACTGATAGGACAGTATTGAGAAAATAAGCGGAATGTGGAGTCTTTTATTTCTTCTGTTTCTAACTACCAAAATGAATAGTGGGAAGATGACGGATGCAGCTTGGTAATATGTTGGGAAAATTATATATTAGTGACCAAAGTAATGAAAATTGTTTTATAGTGACAATAAAGTCACAAAAAGATGTCGAGTCACCAAACCTAAAAGAAAAATGCATATTAGAGAGCATTAGGGGGTAATTCTGTGAAAACACTTGGTTAGCTATTAGAGAAATTAATAAAATAAAGAGAACGAAACTGCCCTCCTGTAGCTTACCAAAATGGTCGCTACTACGTACTTTTTATCAGATTACATGGCAACTCCAACCCTTGCATGCTCATGGGTAAAGGCCAAAGGGAAGAATAAAATAGTGTTGATGCTATCCCATTGTATGACTCGGCAAATGTAAAAGAACACCCAGCCAACATTTTCTTATCGGATTTTAAAATTATCATTAGGGAAAATAACATTGGAAAAATTTGTGACAGGTCAACTGATTGTAATTTATACCATGCTCAAAACTCAAGAGGCATCCTTGCTCAAGTTGGTAGCTAAAATCTGAAAAATTGACTGACTGAAATCAATATTTGAGGTTAGTGGAAGAATAAGTCTGGGTTTGTTCAAGTTAATGTTTGTTCAAACTTCAAGCAAGCATGAAGGGTGAATCTTTACAAAAATCAGCTAGGGTTTGTTCAAGAAGGCTCATATTCACCTCCTTCAAGTTAAGGTTTAAAAAACTGTGAGTGAATTTGTTTCCAAGTAGAATAAATAGTTTTTTATTTTAATAAGTGAAGAAGAGTATTTATGTAATAGATTTTGAATCTGTCATGACAAAGAAAATCATGTTTAGTTTTGGTGACTATCCATTTTTTTTAAACATTATGGTCACTAATAAACAATTTTGTTCAGTTTTGGCCTCTAATATCCAATCTTCAGTAAAATGTTTGAACAATGTTTTGAACTAGGGAGAAATGTTCTGGTTGACATGATACCCGCCACTACAGAGCCCGATGGGGATGGGGTTATTCGTCTCCGCATAAGGAGAGGCTGATATGTATATATGATCATCATGGCATGAACTTAGAATTTCATCATTCAGATTCCAACCCAAACCTACTTCAATTAAGGCTTACTGGCTTTAGTACAGAACATCCGCGTGAAGCATGGCGATTGATTTGTATGTATAGTCATTGTACTAGCAACTTTAAACATACTTCTAATTGGATGAATTCAACGATGGTAACAAACCTTTAGAAAAAGAAATAAAAATAAAAAATTCTCAACTTTATGTCACTCTGATGAAAAAACTAAGCTATCTAATAAATTGAAATCAATTGAAGAAACACCCAAACGGCATAAATCATCATATTCAACCAAATTACTCAGTCAGATTACTTTTTTCTACATTGACATATATGTATACATAGATAGAGAGAGATGATGATGATTATGATGAAACAAACCAGCATTGGCAAAGAGAAGAGTGGGATCATTGAGAGGGACAACAGGGCTGGACTTCCAGTTAACGTGCGCCTTCTCTTCAAAGAAATTGATGAAGGTGTCTCTGACTTTCGTCGCCGGCCACTCCGCCTCTGCCTCCTGCAGCGAACCCATCTTCTCCGGCGAAGAAGAATGAAAACGAAAACTAGGGCAGCGAGAAACCACGCCGATCGGATTCAGATTCGGCGGTGATAACAACGCCGCCCCTCGGAAAATGGTAGCAGCGGAATGAGAATGAAAATGAGAGAAGGCCACCGCTGTATGAATACTACACCAGCGGCGCTGAACCCTCATCCATATATCAATATGACGTCGTATCTCTATCTCTGTCAAAATAAATGTGTAATGTAGTCTATATATATATATATATATACCAACTGCACTAAACTCACACGGGCGCAAATCCTCTGCTATGTTTTTCCCTGCGGTCCCCTGCAGTCCACTTCTTAATGCCGTGTTTGGCTTGGCACAACCAAAAAAAAAAAAAGGCAACTAATAGAACAGTAAACCAAAAAGAAAAAACCAAAAAAAAAAAAAAAAAAAAAGGGAAAAACGAGAAAGGAAAGTTGAAAACAAGAAATTGGCCCACACTTTTTCACTTTCATCTTTCCCTTTCTTCCCTTTTGGTTTTCTTATTTCTCTCCTTTTCGTTTTGTTCCATTATTTCTTTTTTACTTCTTTAATCCAAACCCTAATTCGTCTCTTCTTGTTCCATAAAAAACATATTATTTTTTAATTCCTTTTTTATTCATAACCCTAATTCTTCCCTCCTCCTCTATTTTTACTTTTTTATTTCCTTTTTTGAATCAAAACCCAGATTGCACTAATTTCCTTCCAAAAATTGTTGATTTCTTCAATAAAATTCTCCTCTTCATCTACAGGAAAGAAATCTACAATGGACCTGAGCTGGTATTTATAATTTTGCACGCTTGATGATTGGTAAGGCTTAATAAATGTAATTAATATTGTGCATTTAGTAGTATTGTTCATTTATTGTTCAAAATACAGTGAAATTTTTGTTTTGAACTAAACATTGTAGATTTAGAACTGAAATTATGATTCTTTCATTTATCATCTGTTATTGTAAATGATAATATTTTCACTTTGAAATTGACATTGGTTAAGGGGTTATTTGTAAGGCTTTCTTCTATAATCTTCAATAAGCATTATAGTGAATCTTAATTAATTTTTTGAACTGAGTTGGCTTCATTAGATACCAATGTGTTATCGAAAAATTTTAGTATTAAATGTATACGGCAATTACACATTTCATATGTTATTATTTGATATTTATGAGAAAAAAAAATGGCAAAGTTTAATATTAATTGGCACACTGATCACCTTCACCATCAAAATAAGATATTCACATAGTGCTGACTAACTAATGTCACACATAAATCTAGCCTAAAACACCACCTTCACCGTCAAAATAAGATTTTCACATAGTGTTGACTAACTAATGTCATACATAAAGCTAGGCCAAAAAATTGGAGATAGGTCAATGGCTAAGATACAAATATTCTCTGTTCCCTGCACACATTCCACATTGCTTTAAAGGATATCATAATATGCTTCCATTGTATTAAATTTGTTGACTAACTAATGGCAAGATATGAAAGAATTGATAAAATCTGTTGACTATGTTCAATTAACTTATATTTATGTGTGACATTAGTTAATCGGCACTATGTGAATCTATTATTTTGAGGGTGAAAGTGGTGAGTGAGCAAATGGCAAATAATACCAAAGTTTGTAAAAAAAAAAATTCAAAGTTACCCCAAATGACTTCAACCATGGTAGTTAAATATTTTTTTGAATACTCTATTTTTTGTTAGGTACTCTTATTTTTTGGCCCTTTTCATTATTTCGGTAAATATCTAATATTTTGTTTGTTGTCATAAGTTATAGTAATTGACTTTAACCTTCTAATGGAACTTTTGCTTGTTGTAGCATTCATACTTAAGTTATCCAAATGGATGACAACTTAACTACTAATAATGTAATGACCCGGTCATTTTCTTCCTTTACTTTTTCCTCAAATTTTACGGATAAATTTTTTCCATTGTCTTTTCTATTCTGTGTTTGGTTTCTCATCACTTAGTGTCGTCTCGAGTGCTCAGAAATGGTTTCCGAGACTCTTTCCCTTGATTGACAACTTCCTTTGAGGAACGAGTCATTTCCACTTTTTCACTTTTTGGACACTATTCACTTTTCGTCCTTTTCCCTATCTTTTTCCTATTTGTCACTTTTTGGCACAACCTCACTTTTTGTGCTCGGAGTTGGTTTTTGACTTCACATATCTTCATTTTAAGTGGTTTCCATGAAATACGTATCTTTACTTTTGTAGAAAAATACTCTGGTTGTTCCCGGTGTCCATAGGGGCATGGATGCATAGTTTTTCAGAATCTTTTTCTTTTCTTGGGGTATTTTTCATAAATATCTTTTAAAGATATTTTATTTGAGGGGTTTTTAATAAAATATTTTTAGAAAATACTTTCATTCTGGGTCATTAGTGCAGTTTTCATTTTTTAGAGGGGACATTGTGTAATTAATGAAAGTTATTTATAAAATGCCTCATTTTGAGCCTGGATCCTCGTACGGGATTCATTTTTACATTTCATCGAGTTGTGTGCTCTTAGAATTTCCTTGTGGTCGTTTTTCTCTAGTTTCAGGGTTTCTGGCCCTAGTTGCCATCGAACTTATTCGAGGCATATCTCTCTGCTCGAGACTCAGTTTTTGATGCCGTTTCTTCCATTGTTCATATTTTTTCATTTTGAATCTTTTTTGTTCACAGAGTTTTTCCGTTTGAGCGCGTCTGCTCAAATTCCACATTTCCGGACCCGGCAAGGCCCTTTCGGGGCACTTTTAGGGTTTTACTATAAATAGGGGGTTCTAAAATTGAAAAGTCACTTTCTCCTCTCTTCTAGCACGACCAACAGCTCCCGTGGCAGCTCAAGGGGGGCTGCCACCCTTCTCCTCTCACTTAAACCTCCTTCCCTTTGTTATAAAGTCATAGTGCCTTTGTGTTTTGTGTTTGTTTTGACTACGCGCTTCTTTCTCCCTTATTAAAACCCGTTTTTGGGTAATTTTTGAGTTCGGGTTTGAGGTCAAGTTAGGATTTTGGTAGGTTCTCTTTGGAGTTGTTTATGGCGTTGTCCCCAACAAAATCCCGAAGTATTGTCGAATTCGGAGCCGTTTTATTTTGGTGGCTTTTGAGGTTTTCATCTCAAATAGAGGTAGGGGTGTCTTAAGTTTATATAAATGTTGTATTAATGATTTTGAAGTTTATACAACTTGTATGCATGCTTTGGTTTAAGTTCTAGAATTTAATTTAATTAATTTCTATGGTTAAGATTTAAATCTCATGATGATATATAACTTAGAATTAAATTGTGGCATGCCAGAAAATTTAGATTTGGTATGTTTGTTCACATATATTAAATTGGGATTATTTGAATAAAGATTGCATCTTTTATTTAATATTTTTCTTTAGTGAAAGATTAATTCCCATGGCCATATCTTGCATGAAATTAACTTGTGATAGGCTATTAAATTAAGTCTTGGCATGCTCTTTAACATACTTTAATTTTGAAGCATTTGGATGAGTATGAAAATCTATAGATTTTTATTAAAAAGATTAATTAAAATCTATTTAATGGTTCTATTGGCTTAATTTAGTTTTTAACTTGATATTTGAAATGACTAAGACTTGTTCACTAGCATATGTTAAATTGGGACCATTTGATATTGTTTTAGAAATTAGGGATTTGATTATCATGATTTAATTAAATTTCATTTTGTTGTTTCAATGGCCTAATTAAGTTTTTGATGTGGTATATGAATGGCCATACTATGTTGTTTAACATGTGTTAATTAGGGGTCATTTAATTGAGATTTGAAACTTAGAGGAATTAATTAGGTTATGTAATTAATTTCCAATTCTATTGCGTTAATGATTTAATCATGTGTTGGACATTGATTGTATATTTAAATCATGATTTTGGACTTGTATTAGATTCTTCAATTTATGTTTTCAATATTGAATTATATTGTTATAGCGTGTAACGAATCGTACACTGAAGATTCAACATGTGATGTTATTATAGCACGTAACGAATCGCACTCTGAAGATTCGACATTTGTCATCCTATAGTAGTTGTGGATTTAGAGCATGAGCTGTGTGGTTACAACATACTTGTGCATGAAATGTAGTTTCGTGCTTTATATATATTTCGTATAAAGTTGTTAACTTATTTATTTTGGAGTCACTTGGGACATTGTTACAGAGATATGGCTAGAGTTTGGCTCTAGTGCGGGAGGTATGAGTTATTCCCATTTATAGTGCCCACTTAGGGTGGTATTCCCAGCGGGTTAATGACCGGAATAACCATAGGTCTTGGCTTTATCCAGGATTTGATGTCCAAGTCTTCTACTACTTGATTTCGCATTCAATTCTAAGTTGGCAACCAATATTTAATTGTGACTTGTGGTCTTGGTTATTGGTGATATAATGTTGATAAGTACATTCAGACATTATGATTTCTAATGAATCATTACAGGTTTTGATGTTGTTAAGTACATCCAGACATTATGATTTCTAATGAATCATTGTAGGTTTTTGATGTTGTTAAGTACATATATACCATATTATTTAAATGTAACTTAGGAATGATCCTATAGATTCGTTTGGAACATAGAAGTTAGGTGGCATAACCCACTTTAGTTGTTTTCATGTTTTAGATTTCAAGTTGATGACTTTGAGAATGTATATCTTGTTGCTTTGCATAGCATGTTTTTATGTTGATGAAATTGCATGGATGATGTGATTTATGCTAGAAATGATCTAGGATAGCTTAGGATGCTCCCTGAATCTCATCTTGACATAGACGTTAGGTGACATGAGCCCCTTTGACATGTTTCACCTTAAGGTAATAAAATTGTAAAATGCTAGGTCGATGCATGCTCATTTCCTACGAGTAGCTTTATGTTACTCATCCATGTGGTGGGGACATTTTTCAGGTACAAGAATCAAGGTTGAGATTCTTATCATGCTTGGATGATTTGTGGACTTGAAGACTTCCATTCTTGTAAAGGTTGGCTTGAAAAGTCATTTGTAGCCTTATGTGTCAAATGTGTATATTTGATTCTAAATTTGTAATATGTGCCTAAGCACACTTTTTTATTCTCATTTTATGTATATGATGTGAGGTCAAGGGCCAAACCATATTTGAAATTCATGTACATTCATAAATGTTGAAAATTTGCCTTAATGGGAATATTATGAAAACTATGCGTTTTAATATGTCATTTATGCACCGGAATGTGCATTGGGT